CTTAATATCTGTGCATTGAGCAAGTCTGCAAGCCTAGAGCAAAGTGGGTATTTTTAAAATCCTTCTGAGGAATAACAAAGGGATAAGTGATCCCTATACATCCAAATCAGAAAGTTACTGAATAGTGAATGTTATGAAGATTATATATTTATGCAGTCTCCAGAGCCTGAGCCTTCTCATCATGCTGTGTTATCTTGTGAGCCAATTTGAGCAACAGGACCACAAATCAGTGCTACTCTCTCACCTGAGCTGCCATTGAGATAATATTCTAATAAAAAAAGCATAAGCTCAAGAGACTGTCGAATAGAATATAAACCCCTAATTATTTTTTTTGTTAGTATTTGATGGAAAGAAGCTTTTATGTCAATAAAAATAACTTCATTCTAAATCTTGCTGCTCCTCATTCATTTGAACATGCTTTATGTGCTGTAATGAACAGTGCCTGCTCTAGCAGTTATTTAGGTCAGTGATAATACCCTAGGTGATCTCACTGGGCTTTCTCTATAAGATTCTGAGTAAACTAACAAATTAAGATCTCTGTTTCAGAAATACTAATAGCATTGGAATGTTGTTGTTAGTGACATCACAAGTTTGGTTCACAAATGAGCATTTAGTTAATATTTTCCATTTAAGTGGGCAGCCGTGTTGTCCCAGCCCTGTGGACTCGGAAGGGTTCTTCTAATTGCCTATTACTTCCTTACTATAGTGGCAACACAGCAGAATATCTAGTTCAGAGAACTTCTGGGGCTAGAGAGGAATTAATTTGGTTTTCTTCTTGCAAATAATTTCACTGTCCACTATTTAAGGCATAAAGCAAATGCCAAAGCACAAAACTGGAAGATGGCTTTGCAAGCTGTTAAAAAGCTCTGACAGGTACTTACATCCAGTCTTCTTTAATGTACATAGAAGAAGAAACAATGATAAATGTTCCATTGGCTATTCTGCTTACTGTGTCATTTGGAGAGTGATTAGTTTCCCATTTTCTTGTTATCCGTTGAGGGCTTATTGACACTGCTTGTAGCAGATGTTTTTTGTTTTAAAATCATGAAGAAGGTTGAGTGATTATCCTTGCTGAGCTCTGAAAATAGCAGCTGAGTATGAGAACAGCAATAATGTTAGTCACTTGGGTGTAGAATGTCTGACAATCAGGAAATTGGAAACTACTGCTACCATTAGATTGTAATAGCTCAATAGACATTGAAAGGCAATCGAGTAGTCAGCATCATCCACCACAATGCAGATTACTAAATGATGATGAAAGGAAATCAGACAACAGACTCAAGGTTCTTCCTGGGGAGTAAGCTCAACTTTTAACAGGAACAATTGTCACCATTAAGAAAGGGAAAACAGAAGCATTCGCTTCTTATTTGTGAATTTTATCATAGCTCATTGACTGGTCCTGTGGTCATCTTTTAGTTATGTAAATGATGGTTTAGTAGTGTATAATGTAATTATATAATTATATAATGTAGTATATTGGATGGACTGGGTATTAATTTTCATCTGCATTTTAATCACTGTGAAAGCTGGTGTTCTTTTATCCTTCAGCAAAGTTTAGCTATGTCTTCTTGATCTTAAAAAAAAAAACCAAAACAAATCCTAGATCATAGCAGGGAGCAGAAAAGACACTTAGATCCCAGTCACACTGCTGAATTCTTAACAACTCCTGTCTGTCTTACTCGATTAGATGTGTTTTGATGGAGATCACTTCTCCACCCTTGAGAAACTGGAAACAAAGTCAAGTTCTGGCAAAGCTCTTGAGAGAACCTAGACAAAACGTGTCGGTGGTAGCACTGTAGGCTTTGGCTCCAGCCTCTCTCATTAGAACAGAGCTTTCATTTGCATAGTTGAGAAAAAAACAAGGCTAATTTTGGCTAAAGCAGAATATCTGAGTATTGGTGTGCTTGCTGCCTTCTTCACTGTAATCATCTTTGATGTCCATATTGAGAATAAAATGAAAAATATCTTTAGAGCAGTCGACTGTTGCAATAATCATGGCATTGATTTTTAACAAATAAACAGTGAGACTACTTGACAATTTATGTGCATAAAAAAGAAACACAAATAAGACACCTTTCCAGGTAAATATAATAGACGTGACATTTAATACGCTGTCTTTGTAATTTTTGAGTTACTTTTGGTGCATGTACAGTAGATGTTCATTCACTGAAAAATGAGTGTGCTTGTAATAGAAAATCAATTGCTAGTAAAGCATCTCCTACCAGCCATTAGCATGTAAAGCTTAATTTTAAAATTAACAAAGCTGTTCCCAAGGAGAAAACTCTTAAGCAAGTAACTGTGCTGCTTTTTTGAAACAGATGGTAGCTTTTCCTGTCATGGGTGACTGTTGGTGTTAACCATAATGACTGCCCACTTAGACAAAAAAAAAAAACCCTTCATTACATTTTATGAAGTTTTCAGGAGAGAGAGAGGAAACTACAGAGGACAGTTTACAACTCTTATCATTGTGGTTACTCTGTGTCTACTTACTGCATTTCCATGCCTCATGACAGCAACATCTGTATTTGCAGTGAAGAAACTGTATACCATCTCTCCTGTGGCTTTTTCTTTGTTTAGAGAGAGTCTGGAAGCAAATTTTAAAGAAAAACTGCCTGGTCTCCTGTAGCATAGGGTGAAACCTCCAGATTGCAGAACATACAAGTTCTGTTTTGTCAGTTTCTAGAGGTAAAATCCAGACGCCATAGAGCAATGTCAATCTTGTGATTACAGAGATTTTTAGGTTTTGGTGTAAAAAAAAAAAAAAAAAAATAAATCCTTGTTTTCTTATGGCATTGGTTTAGTAAGAAATTTAGCTTGCCTAGTTTTGGGGTCGGTGGGATTTATTTTTTCTTTTTATCATAGCATATAATTAATCTTAAGGTTTACTTTTTATGGTTAGTGGATTTGACTATGGACTCTGAAGTGTATTACACAGAAAGACCAATGTCTGAGTTTTGATATGAGATTTCTTTCTGTCCTGAAGACTGCTTTAAGTTTTTTTAGGCACTGCTAATAGACTTCAGTTGAGAAAAATATGTAGCATAATTTTTGCTTGAATGCATCAATACCTAATGGCTTTTTTTCTTCTTTAATCAGAAACTTGGAGAGAACAAGAACAGCATATTGAAACAGAGAATGGACAAAGGAAGTAGATCAGCTAGCAGTGGTGAGTGAGATGTTTTCATGACAAGGATACGTAGTAGGCTACCTGGCTCAGGCCTTAAGAATGGCTAAAGAGTAAACCTGATGAGTTCTGCCCCCCGAGAGGGGTAGAATACTTGAGTTCATTTCCTCCTTTGAGATGTTGTCAACGTGAACCTTGAGAAGATACTTTGACTAATTCTGGAAAAGATCTGGGTTTGTTTGGCTTCTCACATACATCATTGCAGGCTTAGAAACACTGTTCTGATGTAGCCTAATCCTGACCCTGCTAAATTACAACCATCTTTATTTTTTTTTTTACCCAAATCACCTTAAAGCACCTTACCCAAAACTTGTTTTTTTGGATAGGGTTGAACAGCTCACCATCTAATGTAACATGGTCCACCTGAGTGACAAGAAGTAGCTGCTCCTCTACTAAACTTATTTGAGCTACTTTCACAGCTGTCATGGACATAACCAGAGTACAACCAGCAGGTTAAAAAAACATATAAACCATTTTGGAGGAGACCCTAAGTGACCTATATCACATACCTAGCTTGAACCCATTCACCTGTTCTGGTTCCACTATCTAAAACAAGGCACTGGAAATTTCAGGAGTTCCAGTAGTTTCTAGGTCTGTATCTAGCTCGTCTGCCATTTCCCATCAATAAATAGGATCATTTTCCTACCTTATAGAATACTACAAGGATAAGCAAGAGACTTTGAAGCACTCAGACATTGTAGGTTGTAAAGGACTGGCTTGGGAAGGAGTAACAGGTTCCTATCCTGTGTTTGATGTTATTATGTGGTCTGCTGCAGCTACAAATCCATACCAACTAAATGTAAAATAACCAGCCTGCCAATGGCCAGATCAGTAACTTTTCTATTAACACTTCTCTTGCCAGTGCCATTGCCCGGTGCTTGTCAGGACATGAAGTAAGATTTTTAGTTGGTTTTTTTTTTGAGTCTGGATGGTCTGGAAGCAGAGTGAAGTTACAGTAATGACAGTGGGTGAGTCTTGGACATAGAAAAAAGAGAATGACTAATCCAGGTAGACAAGACTTGATTTTATTAATAAAATTTGTATTTTCCTCTTTGAGGTGACAGTTACAAACTTTGGTTCAAAAATAAAAGAAATTATGAACAGCAAGAAGTTGACTTTTGAAATCTCACCTTTACATGTTTAAACATGCTTAAGAAAATACCAGTTGGAAATGAGCCAGCAGAAACTATTACTATTTAATTTAACAATTTATAAGAAATAGAAACAAACATTTCTTTTCAAGTCTTACATATATTATGAAAAATAATTACAAAAGGATTTGTGTTGTAAAGCTAAAATGTAATTTCTACTTCCAACTACCTGAATAAAATGTTCAGAGGGAAGGCCAAACCAATATGTTTTTTGTGAGATTTGTATAGCAAGTTTTAGCAGTTTGGGTCAAAGACAGCTCTGTAGGAAGCAGTCCCCTCGTATGTTGCTTAGCAACTATGTAGAATCACATGACCTAGACATATTGCATCCCTGGTCTTCAGGTGAAATAACAGGAAAAAATAATTCATATTAATGGGATGGGCAAATACTGTACAGGACCATTCCGTGGAACTTTTAAAAAAGTATCCAGTTCAGGAAGCACACATCCATCATTGCTTAGTTAAAAATCTAAGTATACACTTCAAAAATTCATAAATAACTGTTTAGAATCCAGTTTTAATATTTATTCAGACCAAGTAAGCACAATGGAAACAAATTCAGATAAGCTTAAAAAAAAAGAAAGAAAGCCACATGACTAATTTATTTCACACAGATTTTTAACAGAACTCTTACAGAGAAGTGTTTTTTTTTTCTTATGTATTTTCCCCACCCAAAAATATAAACTTGTTTATTTTAGGTATATACAGGTATCTTATGAAATTAGGAAAGAAAATAAGAAGTCTGAGGTATAGCACCGTGGAACACAGCACCTTTGAATGTACTTCCATTATTGAAATTCATTATCACAGAATGATATCAGCAGAAAAGAATTGTTTGAGTGTGCTGCTCAAGATCTTCCATTTTTGCCACCTTAAGTTTTGTTGGTGACTTCAGATGACAAAGCTCTTCAACAACAATATATACAAAGGGATTTTATTATTAATCAGAAATTGGAATTGACTTCACTGGCAATTGCAGCTTTATTTTTTGAGAATACATACACAATATTGACAATGTAGTTTTGTAATTATAAAATAAGAGCCAGATGCAATTCAGAGACACATGCAAGTTTTGGAAATGGACAGAGAAATAACAGTATAGTACTGTACATAGAATAATTACAGTTTAATAAACACTTTCTTAACACCTCTTTGTTGTAATGGAAGGAGCACCATATCATTCTTTTTTTTTTTTTTTTACAGCACCAAAGGAATCCAAAGGGGGCAGGGGGTTTTTCCTAAAGTGAGCCCGATGTTGTCTTTCTGTGCCACAGCATCTTTGCAAAATAAGTTTAAGTCATGTGATTCTGGCCCTACAAGGGCAAACATTACTTTCTAGGACATACATACACAGCAAGACATATTTTCTATGCCATCCTTATTCAAAACTTGCATGTGGCATGAAGTGGGTTGGTAGCACCAAAGTGCAACATTTTTGTTGATCTGATTTTGTCTTATGCTTAACCAAGGAAGCAGACAGGACCGACCTCAAATCCAAACTTCTGGTTCTGATCACCAAAGTCATTGATCATCACATCAACTATAGGCACTTGGTCTATTTTGGGTGTGTTGATTTCGATCACCGTCTTTGCATAGCCCTTTCTTGACTGTTAGAAAAGAAGAAGAAGAAAAAAAAGGCAAACATGGTTATGTATGAGAGCATAAAGCATGTGCTGTGGATCTTCATAGGTTGTCTCTGAAGTGTAGAATTATAAATTATTGCTCATGCTCCAGGTACTAAAAACTCTAAAGTTTGCATTTTCTTAGCATTTTATTTTTAAAATGTGACATGGAATGCTTTTGATTTTAAAAAGATCAGCCCATGGCTTTTTGGCTTACTAAAATAGGCCTACAAATGAAAAATTATCTAAGACATTTACTATTAGAGAATTCTGAATTCATATCTATACTATTTAATAAATACTAACAATATTCTTGTATCAGTGCATGTCTTCCTTGTGAAAAACAAAACAAAACAAAAAAACCCCAACACATTAATTCTGAAGGACAAAAGAAAGATTCACTTCTGAGAAAAAAGACTGTAACCGTCTCATAAAATATTACAGCAGCTGCTTGGACATGAAAGTCTGCCAGGACTGCCAACTGATGCATTTAGAGACCAGGTTTGAAGGTACACCCTTACTTCCTAACAAAGGGTCTCTGCGTCCTCTAAGAATCATCCAGCCAAGTCGTCATGTTAGTTATCAGGACTGCACTTCATTTAGATGGTCTCTTATGTTTTGCTGAGACCCATTTCAGCTGTGCCAGGGTCTTGGAGTTTAGATGAGCATCCAAGTTGGTGGATATGTTCTCAGTTTAGTGATGGAGTTACACCCTAAATCACTTTGAGCTCTCTGGAGCTCTACACTCACCCACTGTGGATAACAAAAGCAAAACAAACATACAACACGTGCAGAGAGGCTGACATGAAGCAGTAATGTATGAGAATCTCACTACGGGGCGGGTGGGGAGGGTACTCTGTATCTATGTGACCTGAGTCTCTGTCTCAGAGCCAGCTATGTGTCTTGGCACCTTCAGGTCTCTGATTATCTATCACTGACTTCTCTGGAACTGCCTTAAAAATTATCTCATATCGAACCCCAAAATAACTAATGAGGCTTCAACTGTCCCTTGCTCATTCAATGTCTTTGTTTCAAAGTGTTCAGTACAAACTTCTGTTTCTGAAAAGAGGTAACAGTTGCTATGCCTACAGAGACCCTGCTGGAGAGGTGGTCAGAGAGCTGATGCATGTTTGGACCCCTCAAGGGTTTTAACTGAACTAAGTGGGGATTCTGAAAGGTACAATCTATATGCTTCACCTGGCTTTGTCTACCAAAAAATGAGAAAAGGAAATACATATTCACATACCAAAGTATGCAATTAATTCACTATGTTGTTATGTTTTAGTTCATATGTGTTTTTATTCACTAAATATTCTGTGTATGCCCTGATTTTGAGTATAAATCTATATATATTGAGTATACATATATAAATATGCACTGTCATTCCTTGTTATGCTTTGTTGCTTCTGCTCCCCTCTTACACTATGCTCATACTAGCAGACAGTCTAGTTTCAGCACATTGGTGCTGGCAGCCTGTGTCCTTGCCAGGTTTATTCTATTACTGTTGCTTGGCTTACGGTTGTTTTTTCTTATTGTACACATATGGAAATTAAATAAGGGACTGGTGTACTGTAGTTGAAAATGTACTAAAAGGCAGTCTGTTAAAAATAGAGTGTTTAGAAAGCTTTTCTCTGAAGAAAGCTGTGAAAAAAAATGACTTTGATTTCTGCTTTAATTGACAGGTTGGTTTTGTAAAGACTTCTGAACCTCTACTTACCGCACAGCCATCATGAAGAGCTTTGATGTAGGGGTTGTTGTCATAAGACATTTCTTCATCATTTGATCCTAAGAACCTTAGCGCTTTGTCGTAGCTGTCAGATAATGCGTCATGCCAAGCCACAGACTGATGACAGTTGTAAGTGAAGTTTTGTCTGGCAGAGGCACTCAGTAGTTTAAGGAATGTCATTTGGACCATATTAATGGAATTGCCTTCAACATCCAAATAGGAAAGCTGGAAAACATAAGAAATGACATGAATGTTTATCTGCTTCCTTGGTTAAAATGCAAAACTTTATTGTTGACAAAACCCCCATGAACCGACGTGTTTTTTTTTAATGAAAACTCAACCAGCATATAACATTTTATGGAGTTTTAAAGTTCAATAAAGCTATGACTGGGTAAATAGATTTTCATGTTGCAGCAATATATTTAGGGTGAAGAGCTACATATTTTAGCTTCATTCTAATGGGAAAGATAGAGAATTACTCCTACCTATCATATAGAGTAAAATAGCAGAATCTCTTTGGGACTATGTTTTTAATGAATTATAAAGTTATGTTTGTCTGCAGGTCTCATCTTTGCATACTCAGTGTATTTCCAGTTACCTAGAATGGGGCAGGGGGTCTTTGCTGCGGCTGCGTTACTAAGTTTCAGTGGTGATGTGTGGTCTGTCAGAAGCCAGATCCTCACCACCAGCTGTGCAGGTGACCGTTGAGACCATTGTGGGATAATACAGAGCAGGCTTCTGCTGTTCAGTGGCAAGAGGCCATATAGCTGATCTAATATTTCGGGTTAAAAGGCTGCGTCTGAACAGCGTTTTCAGTATTTAAATATTTATAAAATGCCTTAGGATCTGTTGATTGCTGATAACATGTACTTGATTTGTGAATAACTGTTACATTGCAGTGACAACTTACAAGTTTGCCTCGCTTAAATTCACTAAACCAAGATCCTGGATTCTCCTTTGGCCATGACGAAATTCTAACCTGTGTTGTAAAACAGCAGAGAGAGAAATATTTAAAAGGCATGTTTTTGTGAAGGTTTTACATTACCTAGGACAAATTTCACATAAGATAGTACAGAACAGTTTTTCTTTTTGAGATCTCAGCCTCTTTAATGCTCTAAAATAGGATGTTTTTCTTGTATAGAATGCCTTCAAGTTAGTGGCTTTAAATGGCATCCAAGGTGCTTATGAAGAGCACCAGCTGTCTTAAGGGAGACTGTTGTCATATGTTAAGTAATTCAGGTAAATTTCTGGTATGAATTGTTCCTGTAAAGAATGTCTAAATTAGAGTTTTCACTAGTGTTGATGCTGTGATAGATCTCTCTCATTTAGGCAAGCTTTTAGAAAGCCTTCCTTTCACCATATGCCCCATCAGAGGTAGTTTATAACAATGGCTGAGGACAGTGTTAATACATAGTGGTTTATGTCTATTTTGCATAAGTATACATGAATAGATATAAAGACAGTGAGAGTTGAGCTTTCAGGTGTGAAGTGCTGGGTTGTGCACTTTAGCTGGCTGCACAGCAGTGTTGCATTCTGAAATGCAGTGAAAGGTCAGCAAGCAGGTGCAGAGATTCCCTATTCAAGCAAAAGTGTGAAAATGCTGTTTGTCAACTCTGCCTACCATTTTACCACTTCATTCAGTTTTATGCAAATTTCAGGGTAATCAGAAAGACAGATCTATGCAAGTGTGGTAATGTAATTATCCTGTTTAGTTCAACACTGCAACGACATAGTAGAATCTGTCAGCAGCCAACTGAAAACACAGATTGGTACTTACTCCTTCAGATTTCCTGTCTGGGTAGATGCAAGTTTCCCCACCTGCTGTGAAATTGCAGTATACTTTGAAGGAGTCTCCAGAACAGCCCTGGTTAGGATCAATCCAATATTCCCCTAAAACAAATAAAGAAATATTTGCCTTACATATTGGAAATGGTATTTGGAAACCAGGTTTTACTGCTACCTAATGCTCCTCCAAAGTTGGTAGTGAAGTTATTTTATCTGAATGATGAAAAAGCAACCCTTTCTTTTCTGCCTTGTGATTTGATGTTATTTATGAAAGATAACACCAGGATCAAAGCCTATTTTTATCTGTGGCCTTTTGTTTTTGTCTAATTTTACTTCAGACCATGGCTATACTGCAGGATAGTGCTGGGGTTTTGGAGCTGTGGAGACCTCAGTCTAAAGGAGGAAGGGCATTATGTGTGAAATGTACATTCCAGGTCTCAACAATTTAGCCATTTCAGTATTCCATCTAGAAGGATAATTTGCACCTGTGGTGATGGCTCAAAAACAGCAGAGGCAGCCTTAGCCAGAAATGGCTTAGATCAGAGAGCAAAATCTGGAGTCATTTGCACACCTGTCTACATAAAAAGGTGGTTGTACAGGGCTTGGTGAGGCTGTAGCTGGCACAAGTACCTAAAGGTTCCTTTGAGAGAGACAGACCTCAAGCAAATATGTTTTTTAATACTGTGTTATATATACAACAACAGTGAAACCTCCAGGCTTCTGTAGTTGATAAGAACATCTGAACTAATGCTTGGTTAGGTGGCACGGTGGGAAAGACTTGCATGAGGCTTCCCCTAGTTTCTGGTGTGAATTCAGGCCCTGTAATGCTTATGTGAATAGAGGCTGGGCATGAAAGAGAGCTGCAGTCAATCCAAGGTCCATTGAAAATCAGCCTTTTTTTAAATCTACCCTCTTAATGATGATTTCTGTGATGTGGGTGCTTATCTCCTGCTAGTTTCACAGCAGGACAGCAAGTGATTTTTCTGACGCTACTGTTCTAATCCAGTTTCAAGTAAATAGTAGAGGTTTCAAAGAGAAATGACAAATCCTTTCGTAAGTTCTGTCTTATGAATACAGAGCAAAGAAAAAGTATTTATTTTAAAATTGTATTGATTCAGGCTGTCTTTATTGAAAACAGTCTTTCCTACCTGTAAGTCTTGTCCCTGGAGAATTTTGTATTTTAATGAATGCATTTGCTTTTATTTTAAACAAAATAAGATTACTTTTATATGAAGGAAGCTGCAGGTAATAAACAAATACTGGTAAATGCAGAAGGTGAATGCGTATAAAAAGCTATTCATTATTTTGGAGGATACTGAATTGTAAAGTATGTACTTTTCATATAGCACAAGCACTGCTTAACTATTCCTCAAGGCAACCATCTGTTTTTATCTATCTCGAGTGAAAGCAATAAAATATTATTAAACTGTCAAAATCTATTTTCCCTCCCATTTAAAAACAGAAAAATATTGCTTTGAACTAAGAAAATTATCCATTTCAATAAAAAAAAAAAAAATTAAAAAAAATGAAAACTGTTACGGTTGGCTTTCATTTAAACCTTTCCAGAAGGGTAAACTCAGTTAGAAAAGAGATGAAAACAACAAAGAATAATTAAATCAAGATAGTTCTTCAGAACACAGTGTCTTGTTCATACTACTCTGCATTTTATTAAGCTATTACTTAGTAGCACTAAGCAGCCTCAGAGAAACTTGCATGTCTATTTGCTGAATGGTATAGAACAAACAATGGTCATGCAGTAGAACAAATTATTGTTTTTAAGGGTAAAAGAACAGTAAATTTTTTGAGAATTTTAGCATCAATCTTTCATTCTTCTCCTATAAAAAAACAATAACTGTTTTTTTATTTGGCACTTTAAAATCTAAAACCTGATTAGGTTATGTCTGTAAAGAATTTTGGCTTTTACCAAGAGAACATCTCTTACTTATATTTTATAAACTTTTATATCTGAAAAAAAAAGGATTTAATGAGACTGTATTTATTGAGCATCTATATTAATGATCTAACAACAGTTGATTATTCTGCCAAAGGGAAATTCTTAGCAGATGATCACTGTATGCCTGTGTCATACAGTATTAACATACCATCTGGGAAGTCTGGGTGGCAGAGCTGCAAGTCTTTGCAAGTTCGGGCTGGGTTATTCTGAGTGCCCATTGGATACTTCATATGCTCAATGTCTTGCTTCAGTGAATTCAATGAACCAAAGATCTCTTCCATGCCATCAGAATAGTCCAGAATATTATCACCAGCATCAGATAACATGTAATCAGGAGATCTTCTTGTTTTTTTGGGTGACTGGATTGGCAGTGGCTGGATAACCTCACCCGGAGGACCCTGAGTGGAAAACAAAGTGTGTGGTTACCTTTTCTCTTTGTTTTTCAGCTGCATAAATACGGAGAGAAGGACCACAGAATGTGGCTTGGAGATGCTTTGATTAGGCTTTCTTGAAATTCTGTATTTTTTAATTTCACTTATTTCCTTCAGATTTATGCCTCTGTGCTTTGATTTACTTGCAGAAAAAGATGATTGTAGAAGGTCAAACTGCCATTGTGCCCTGAACTCTTCTCACCACGTTGCTGTTTGAAGAAGAGCATGCTGCCCTCACATAAGTTCAGCATGCAGAACTGACTCGTGACTGCCTCTGTCCCTTGCAATCCCCTGAAGCACAGGCATAGCCTATGACAAATGAAAACTGTGGATGTTCTGTATGAAAATAAAATTCAGCTTGGATTCTATAAAGCAATATTTAATTTCAAGAATTAATTAATTCAATTTCAAGAAATTGAAACACTTCATTCACACTTGGACTGTTCATTTTACATTGTTATAATATGAAAAAGAGATACTGGAAACATAAGAAGGAAAAAACAGGAGGAAACCGATGTCATTCTATTTTCTGTGCTTCAATATAACACATGAAATAATTATTGTGAAGTTTTGTTTGTTTGTGGGAAGTTTTGTGGCGTGCTTTTTTTTTTTAAGCTTCCAATGGCCTTTTCAGTGCAGACAATATATTCCTGTGTCTGGTGGATCTGTGTTTCCTTAAAAATGAATTTTCAAATGGTCATTTTTTCCTTATATGCAGGTTCACAAGTGCTGTTTTCTACCCTTGTCAAAACAGGGTCATCATGTCAGTGTAATGTGCATGCATGTCAGATAAGAGTTCTTACTTACTGGAGGACCAGGTGGACCAGGTAAGCCACTGTCACCCTTTTGACCAGCAGGACCCTATATAAAGCAATGAAAGAAATGCTATTCTGACCATGCTACTCAATATTAAAAAATAATACATATAAAAGGTAAGTAAAAGAACAAAATATTGAGGAGAATTACTCACGCTGGATCCTTTGGAACCTTTTGGACCTTGGGGACCCTAAGGGCAAGAACATATATCTATAGTTGGTGTGTATTCCACAAAACACAGGAGTGTCTTGAACAGGATGACTGGGTGAAATTACTTACAGGTAAACCAGGAGGACCAGGGGGTCCAAGCGGACCAGCAGGACCAGAAATTCCCTAAGAAAGAATAAGAGAATAAGTACAGAACGAAAGTATTCTACATACTGGATTTTATTAAAAAAAGCTTATTTATGAAAAGGTGGTGCTACTAAACATCCAACCCTGACAAGTTTTGATTTAGACCATTTGCTAGGGTCCAAAATAGTGCACAAGTTTTAAATATTATCTGGCAGTTTGAGTTGCTTGTAGTTACACAGCAGTGCTTACAGACATGACTGTGTTCCCCTTCAGACTGGTTTGGAAACCACACTTTTTATATGCCTTAAAATATGCCTTAATAACTAGAAGAAAGGAAGCTACTTTGGGAAGTGCAGTTAATAAACATGATTAAATCGGTGCTGCTATTTTTATCTCATCCCTAACTTAGGTGTGTTGATTCCTTCATCCTCTGAAACAGTCTATGGTCTTGTTTGAACCTGTTGTACACAACCTGTGTTTGTACAATGCTTAGGGAAGTTTTAGTGTCTAGGTTGGGTGTTAGTTATAGCAACTTGGTGTCTCTCAAAAAAGAGACTGGAATATATATTTTTTGCTTGCATGGAACTTGATTGAAAAACACAAGTATGTTTTACTCACTGCATCACCCTTGGCTCCAGGAGATCCCTGTGGGCCAGGAAGACCCCTATCACCCTTTTCCCCCTGTTCTCCTGGAGGTCCAATCAGGCCAATTAAACCAGGGTGTCCCTAAACAAGATAGAAGAAATATAGTTAAAAATCAATATATATATATATATATAAAGTAAATGTGCTTTGCAAACACACAGACTAGAGCTTTCAAATGTCATCACGGTTGCTAGTCAACAATCAGCCTGACAGTAAATTATTCTGAAAGCCTGCTCATTTCTTTCAGTTGGCCTTTTCGACTTGGAAATGATTTGCAAGTTGTGACTGCTTGTTCAGTGAAAGACATCTAAGTGCAATAGTCCTTACTGAAACTGATACAGAAATAACAATACCTGTGGGTACAAATTTCATACCAACTTTCACATTTAGATGCTATAAACATATTCTAGAGTTGCACATTGTTTTCCACACATAATCTAGCTGTATGAACAGTCAATCCAGGCACATAAAACCTGGAATTCACAAGATATAATCACACTCATATCCCTTTATACAGTTTTTCTCTGATGCACAAGCAATCAATAAATTGTTGGGACTCCATTAGAAAATGCTATCCCAGATGTCTCAATCCATTATTTCAAACGAAAGTATTATAGCTGTTAAATATTTACATTTTATTGTTTTAAAATAAAAATCTTTAATACTTTTTATTTCTACTTACGTTGCTTTTGTAATACCAACAGTTCTCTTTACATCAGTGTCTTTGGGATTTGCATCGCAAGGAAGAATCACACGGACAGTAGATTACCACACAGACAATAATCTTTTTTCTTTCTATATAACTCCAGGAAGTCAGATGTGGCTTAAAACTTCACAATTACTACTAAGGCTGTAGGAAGCTGATTGACAGATGTGGTAGGTTGCCTTGTTTTCTGATACAAAAAACCTAGTGTTTCTTTCTGCTAATTTGAGACAGATTTTTAGACTGGTTCAAAATGGCAAAGGCACAAATAATGAATGCAGTATACCTTCTCTCCTTTGGAACCAGGATCTCCTTTCAGGCCAGGCAAGCCAGGTGGGCCCTAAATAAATTGAGGGAAGTAATGTTAAAATGTTAAAATAAGTTTTTACATACTGCACAGATCATGTTTCTTGAAATATTATTAAAGGCAGTGTAAGTCAAAGTACAGAGTCATTTCAATGGTTGATGGTTGTGACTGATGGCATATGAGGCCCAAGATAAAGTTTAAATGTATGTTTTAAACAGCATAAAGATGCTATCATAGCATTTCAATTACTTTATCATTAGAAATTTATAAAGGGTTTTATGATTAGAAATCTATGAAGCAGAGGGTCAATTAAAATCTTAAGGAGCACTCAAAGCATCCAGTAAAACAGTAAAGCATCCAGATAATAAGAAAAAAAGGCAATTTTTTATTGATTAGCCTAATTTTGCTTTCACCTGAGTTGCTGTACCTTATTTTAGTTGCTTATTTTAGCCCTTTTTTTCATAAGACTGTGGAAAGTACCCAATTCATTTGTTTTCACCCAGTTTGCTACAGTTCAATAAAATTTTTGCAGAACATAAAGCAGGTTGCTTATAATAACTAATCCTGTTTTACAGAACTACGTCATACTTTGTTTCAGCACCTGGGGGTTTTGTTTTGGGATTATGGGTTCCTGACCTTGCTGTGTAAAATTCCTATATGTGTATGAGTAATGTATTTAAATCTATATTTTCTAAATAGTCAAGTCTTTTTGAATCAATATTGCAAACTTAATGTGATCTTGGTGTGCTCAGTGCACTGATATGCCCAAGCTTATGGTCCTTTGTCACTTCAGTAAATGTGATTATGCTGGAGGGAAGGGAGGCCATCCAG